ATTGCGTTTAATTCCCTCAGCCTCTCCACCCTCTTTCATCACTCCATTAACGAACGGTAAATTGATCTTTCAGAAAAAAAAAACGAAAAAAAAAAAAAAAAAAAAAGAAAACAGAAGAAAGAAACAAAGAAACAAACAAACCGTGTAATCTTAAATCGTATAATTTTTTTTCTTTTGTAAGACTTTTCAAAGATTAAATTTTTTTGTTCCTTCATCCTTTTTTCACATTGTCAAAATAAAATTCCTAAGGTCATTGATTTCGCATTCTAAAAGCAAAAATTTATGATCTAAAATATTTGACAAAGAAGAAAAAGAGAATAAGTAATAATTGATTTTTAAAATTTAATCTTGAAAAATTGTGGCTCATCCCATTTATTTAAAAAGAAAAATATTCCAACATTAATAATTATCGATCCAAACGATATACAATTTGTTACGATAAAATATTCACATCGGCTTTTTAATAATTCCGAGTTCTACATTCTATTTCTATAATAAATAAAATCTATTCTATTTTTCTCTGTTCAACGATAAAAACCCGTAAACATCTACGATGGTCTTTCAATTTAATTTTAACTCAACCAGTTTTTATATATCTGCATATGTTAAATATGAAGAATCCTGTCGCTCGCTCGCTCTCTCTCTCTCTCTCTCTCTCTCTCTCTCTCTCTTTCTCTCTCTTTGTCTCTCTCGAAAAAAACGGGAAAAAAAAGAAGAAGAGAAAAATACATATCGAAATATCTCTATTATTTCATATATATGTATATACATATATATATTAAAAAAAAAAATGTAAAAAACGATCGTTTAAAACGACAAAAGCTTTATTGATATATGCAGTACGTAGAATACCTATGATCCGCGAAGTGAAATTTAAAAAGCACTCAATATCGTTATCGTAAAAACGTTCCAATGGCATTACTTAATCTCATAAACGATAGAAAAGATAATGGTGGACAAGAACTGAATTATGTATTAAATTTCTGAACAAAACTATTGATGCTTTTAGACGATCCAATATAATTGAATGATACGTAGAAAGAGAAGAAGAAAAAAAAAAAAAAAAGAAAAAAAGGAGAAAAGGAAAAAACAAAATTATCGATTCTACGAATGGAAAATGTCAATTGAAAAATTGCAAACGAATAACTTTTAACGTTGATTAAAGACTATAAATATTCATATTTAAATTTTGCATTTGTACTCGATCAAACGTCCATTAGAATATCGTCCGTGGAAAACATTATCGTATTAATTCGATCATATCTAATGGAATATTTCATATTTCCCGCTTTCGTACATATTTCGTACAGATTATGGCGGTGAAAAAAAAAAAAGAAGAAAAAACAAGGAAAGAAAGAAAGAAAAGAAAAAAAAAAGAAAAAGGAAGAAAAGAAAAAAGAACAAAGTAAAAATATATCTAATAGAAATGCGATTGAACATATAATTTAATGAAAATAACGTTTACTGAATAATAAATGAGAAAAATAAATAAATAAAACAATGGAAACAATGGAACTTACAAAGTCACGAAGTTTAACGCATTATTGAAAAATATTTTCTATTAAAGAATTAGCATTTATGTACGTCAATACGATGTTTACGATTCATTTCACGATTAGCCTCGTAATTATTATTATTTAAATGTGTCACAAGTCTCTACGACTAATAGAGAGAAACTAATGATAAGGGAATATCTCGTTTCGTTTAATATGTTATATTGAAAACACACGAGTTTTGACATGAAATAATTATTTCTGTCGTATATGTATCATCTATAACATTTAATATTTTCTTATAATTGATAAATAATCTAACAACGAGTTTGATGCTCGTTTGAAATAAATTCGTTTATAAAGCGAGAGAGAGAGAGAGAGAGAGAGAGAGAGAGAGAAAGAGAGAGAGAGACGATGTAACGACATTAAATTATTATGATACTTAACCTCACTCTCCACGGACACTTAAAATTTTATACGCAATACATCGTAAATTGAATAAAATTAATATTTTCAAACGAGTATACTTCGATTATATCCACGAAATTATTTCAAAATGATCGAATAGTTCCATATGACTTTTCGAAAAAATAAATCTTATCCCATCCGTTCATGCGTATTTAAGGATTAAACGCAGTACGTTTGTACGAATCTATATATACAAATACATATGTATATGTATATACGGGAAAATATATTTTCAATCGAACAAAAAAAAAAAAAAGAAATCCTCGTTCTTTCGACGACCTTCGAAATTCGTAGAAATTCATTTACGCGACGAAATTATTTATTTTCTTCGAAATGCCGAAAAAAAAAAAGAAGGAAAAAGAAAAAAAAGAAATAAAAAAGGAAAAAAGGGAGAAAAAAAAAGGAACAAGAAAAGAAAAAAAATTATAAACCGATCCTACATACGTATAACCTATAAATAAATAATGTACGTTGCTTTGGAACATTAACAAATGGAGAAAAGGACGTATTGTAAGAAAATAATATTATTGAAAACTTACTCAACACTCGGATGCTGACGATGTTTGTAAAGACGTTGAAGATCTCGTTGAAAATTCTTCTTCGTGAAAGAAGACACGTACGAACACGTTCGATATGATGACTTCCGTCGTTGTAACTACGCCAAGAATCGGTTATACGTTTCTTAACTTTTCTCATGCACTAGTCTTTGTCCCTTTTCTTTTCAATCTTCCTCTTCTTCCTCTTCCTTCCTTTTTCTTATTCTTTTTCTGTTTAACACTGCAACGCGCACGACGGAAAAAGGGAAAAAGAAAAAAGAAAAAAAAGGAAGAAAAAAAAAGAAAAGTAAAGAAAATAAAAGGAAAATTTACGGTCGACTTTTGAAAAGTTTTAACAAAGCCACGGACAACACATTCTTAGCTCTCTTTGAATAAGAGTAATATAAGGCGATTGTCACTTGTTTTCGCGGTCTCTTTGTGTCTATGACACTACGAATATATTTTTCACGTAACTTTATGCTACGCACATATATATATACATACATATATACATTACCAAAATAATATGGAAGAAAAATAAAAATGGAGATGAGAAAATATATCGTGGATACAAGAAAGTAAATGAATAGTGATAAATGTATAATAGAAATGTGGAAAAGAAATATATACATATATATATATATATATAGGTGTCTATCTGTGTATATGTGTATAGGAAACTATTCTGTCAAAATACGCGTTTACTAAGAGAAGATACGAACTAACCGAAAATCTCGACGAATGCACGCGGCCGCACGGCGGCTACTGAACTCGCGGGTGCTCCATCGAAACGTGACTCGAACTGCGCGCGCATTCACAGCTCCGAGCCAATTAAAACACGTCTTTTTGGCGCATGCGTGTCAAATTCCACCGCGCGCGAATAACCCCCTCCAACAATTCAAACGTGTTTTGGTAATGCAAAATGAAAAAAAAAAAAAAAGAAAAGAAAGAAGAAAGAAAAAGAAAAGAAAGTTTAAAAGAAAAAGCAAGAAATAAAAAAGAAAGAGAGAGAGAGAGAGAAAGAGAAAAGATGAACGTTAATCAAAACGAATATGTAATCTTGGATATCTATGAAGAGTTAACAAAATTTCAATATTTCTTTATATAAATATTTTTCGATGACGTTTATATTAATTATATGCCATTGAACAATTTGACACGTTTTATTTATTATCTGCCTTTAATGTTTCCTTCTTCTTCTATCTCTTAAATAATATTCCCCTGCATAATGACTGTCATTTGTAATTACTCAAATATTGAATATTCGAAAGTTATTCGTTATACAGAGTAGATGGCTTCGTCATTCAACAGGTTGCCCTATCTTTATTAACGAGTCACTTACTATCAATCAACGGTAAAAAGAGAAATGATCATTTAAATAAAATGAATGCGGAAGTATATTTTTTATTATTTTTTACTTATGTAAAAATTCATTATCTTATTTTTTTTCTTTTTTTTTTTTAAGGAATCAACAACATAACGACACGTATGTCGTAAAAAAATGAATAATGCTATCCATTGGCATATGCTTATATATTCTTCGCGAACGAATTTGATTATATTATATTTAGAGTCACGATTTCTTGCATAATTCTAAGATCTGTCTAAAAGAGAAAAGAAAGAAAAAAGAAAAAGAAGAATTATAAAAAGAACTCAGTTTTTAGCGGACGTTATAAAAAGACGTAGCATAAATATCTTAAAAGATTTTAAATAGATGCGACTCTGAAACGACACAATTTGTGTTTATTCGAAACGTGTTTATTTTCCTTCAACAATAATAATAATAATAATAATAATAATAATAATAATAATAATAATAATAAATTATGCATAATACATAAATCAATAAAGGTGACATATCAACGAGATGTTGTAAAAAATTACGAATAATATCATTTGACATCGAATGAGGTGACACGTATGTATGTATATATGTATTGTAAGTATGTTAGAACGTATGCACTTTGTATATCTAATCTTAGCGTAGAAGCGTTGAACCTTTACTTCTTCGTAAAGCCTTTAGAGACCATAACTCATAATAATATCCGTCTTATCGATCTTACCAGTAGCGCAAAGTCTTCTATGTGTATGACTAGGTAAAAACTGAAAGTCAAGAACCCAAAAGGTAGTAATTTTAGTACATAAATTTATCGTCGAGTCATTGTCTCGATAATATCGAACTTTAAATCCTTGTTGTTACTTTGAACCCTGTTCCATGCCGAAGACATTAAACGTCAAGAGGCGTGCTAATAATGGCTCTACGATTAACTCTTTCCCTTCCTCTCTCTCTCTCTCTCACTCTCTCTCTCTTCTTCTTATTCCTTTAACTTTAACGAGTCTTTACCACGTAAATACATATACATTTCTAAGATCGAAAGTCGACCAGATAATTAATAGCGATTTCCTGCTTTTTCTTTCCTTAATTATACCACTTATAATGTAACAATACGCGCCGTATAACAACTAACAGTCAGTCTCTAAACTGTCCTCGAATCGTGTTGCA